CCACGCCGTGCGCCACCTGCCGCCTGCTGGGAGGGCTCCGCTCCGGTTGGCGGGGAGGGAAAGACGAGGACTGCCCTGCCGGGCTTGCTGCAGGGCGCTCCCGTCCTCCGCGCTGCCGCCCCCTATAGGGCGGCCAGAGTGGAACAAAAAAAAAAGTGGCCGTGCCACCCTAGGATTGGGCAGAATGCCGCCTCGTTCAATCTGCTGCCCCAAGCACCAGCTTGCTCGGCTGGTGCCTGGAGCCGGCCCTGCTTATGATTGCTTAATCCAGGCCAGGTTTAGATAGACTTAGTGTGGCAACACACTGCACAGCACAGGCTGTGTTCTTCAGTCTGTGAGATAAAAGAGCCAGGGAGCTTCAGGGTCTCTGTGTGTCCAACATCCTGAAAGAAGAATCCTCTTCCAGGATTTACTACAACAGATTCCCGTCTCTTCTCTATTGCGAGGGACATTAGAGAAACATAATGTATTATTATTAGTAATAATAAAACCTAATATTCACTCTTTGCCTTTTCCTTCCTCAGGGAGGACTGGACAATGCACTGCAAAGGGCGAGACCTGTCTGAGTGGGTGGATGGATGTGACCTGTGAGAAAGTCACCAACCTGGCTCTGCTATGACTTCTCAGGGCTGTCTATGTTTTCCTGAAAAGGGAGTGTTTCTCTCTCTCCCTGGGCACTTCTGGCAGTTAGTGTGTACAAACAATCCATTCCACAAACCAATAGGAAAAACAAAATCCAACAAATACTAATTTAAAGAATACGTTTTTTAAAAAAATAAATGGATTTATTAATTTAAAAGAAATCAGCTCAGGCCGTTAGTTTCACATGCTATTTAGGACTCAACTCCAGAAGATTTTCCTGAGCTTAGTTCTGTGTGAAACAGCAGCTGGAAGGTGAAGTGGCTGATAGGCAAGGTTCTGGAGTTGCAGTTATAACTGGTTAAAAGGGGTTTCCAGAAACTGCTGGGTGCTTTGGGGTTTTCAAAGAGGGCAAACTGAAGAAGCTCAAAGGTGTATGAACTTGTCCACAGAGAATGTATAAGATTTACCTGTATACTAAAGGGTGCAAAATATGTGCCATGGTCTCACTGGGAGCTGGGCAATATTTGTAAGTATTTGCTAATCAAAATGCCGAGCAATTCAACACTGTCAGTATCACACACATTCCCACTGAAATGCAGAAAAATGTGCAATAAGTATGAAATCAATGTCCAAGTGGCTGAAAAGATAAATAAATGCTACTGTAATCCAAAGTTTAGAAAACTTAGCCACAGTACAAGCACAGTGGAGTCTACAATCATCCCTGATTGTCCTCAGCTGCCTATAGGTAAGTGGAGCCTTGTATCTTGCAGGCCAGTGAACAGAATTGAGCCCCGGAGTTTTGGTGGCTGGTTCATGCAGTAGTCTTGTTTATATCAGATTTCTGCTATTAGAAAGTGGAAGTTTGATCCTAATTTGAAAACCATTTCTAGACCTTCTAAAAATCCTGAATAAAAAGTCCACAATGAAAGCAGGAATTAAATCAAGGACCCAGACTCAGCTAAGGCTGAGGAGTGCACTGTGTAACTCATGGCTTTAAGCCATGTTTATACTTCCCTGCACCTGGGCTGGCTGAGTGCTAGGCCAATCCCTCAGCATCCGTTAGATCACCCTGAGAGACAGCATGTATCAATTACCTATGCCTCCCCCATGCCCCCAGGAGCTGATACACCAGCCACATCGCCTCTCACCCATTCCCTCGACACTAGCTGCAGGGGTTGCATGGGAGTTGCTATGCTGGCTCGGTGCTGCTGAAGGATGGGTGATTCCCCAGAGTCCAGCTATGCAAAATTGAGATTGAGTTGAATCCACAGTGCAGTGCAAAGCAACTACAGTGCAGCCCAGATGATAGGCCAAAGAGCTGCGATGGGATCCCATAACACTCCTGGAAACACTCCTAAATCTTTGGGATCCATTAAGATTATTACAGTCTATTATTAGATTTTTATAGAATTCTTTAATGTGTGTTGATCATTACCCAGCTGTACGATGTGTTCTTTTCCTTTCACTAAAAGGAACGGCATCGCATCTAAGTGGATTGATTGGCACCACAGCAGTTGGAATGCAAAAGCTAAAGTGACAATAAGTTTGACACAAAGAGATTGAGTGTGTGACGCTTCCTGGGGTACCCAGGGCATGAGGAAGTCTTGTCTGTGCCTGCTGTGGATCAGCTCCCTGAAACCACCAGCCTCTGGCAATACAAAAACTGCCTTCCAGGCCTCCGTAGGCCTAACTCTCGCTGTACAGCTTAGCAATAGGCACACACAAAACCCCGAGTCCTCCAAGCATCCCTCTGAAGTGCTCTGCTCCTGTTCCACTGAACACTCACAGAATTGCCAGGCCTGCTGTTCCCAAAGGAACAGTACACGCCGGCTTGTAGGAGTCAATTCAGGATGACCACTTTGTTAAACACACAGCACTTACATATCTATCTCGAAAACTAGAGTAAGTTTATCATCAAAGAACAGACATTCAAGTGAAAGAGAGTGGGAATATTGGAAACAAATGGTTACATATAAAATAAAATCATAACACACTTTCTAGAGGCTAAACTTAGCTAACAAGGCATTCCCCTATCTTCTGCAAGATAGCTTACCTCAAGTTCTTTCCCTGGCATTTTCAAGCGGTTTGGTTGAGACCTCTTCTCATACGATCAGCCCGCTGACAGCTTGCCTCAGAGATTGAAGAAATAACTAGGGGTTCAACTGTACCCCAGATCTAGTACTCCACTCCATTGTTTTAATTTGCAAAACAGGATAAACCCTGCTGTTTACCTCTTCCTGTTAATTTTCTCTCTTTGAAGATTTCACAATCCATCATTATCATCAGGTTTAGACTGGTGAGTGGAGGCCCATTGTGAGCCATACAATACTTAATTTACATGAAAACAGATAGTTTTCTTTCAGACACAAAATGTTTATCTATTTTTCACCATTGCTGGTGACCAGTCCCTAGACACAGATCTTAACATAATTTTCCCTTTATACACATAACTCCTTACACATCATCCATATATGTATTTTCCATGTGACACAGGCTTTCATTGGAGACCTCGCATGACAGTCTGATGAACTAGAATGTAAATACCACACCCAGGGGATTCCTATAACCCTTATGCCCTCTGCCAGTTGCCATCAAGAGGTCCCCGAGACACACAGTTAAAGATAAATAGTTAGTTGTCTCCGCTTGCGAGAATTGTCTGTGCCTTGTTATTTCGTGGTATCTTTTGGCAATGTACAAAAATACCAGAGAGTAGTTTTTGCTAAAAGGAAAAAAATATCAGAGCAACCATCTGGATATAAATGGAGTTGGGTCTGAAAATATTCCCAGGTTCATCAAACTTTGGCAGTTTTGACATCCCAACCTACATTAAATAGACAGCATGGGGCTGACACTGAAATAATTAATGATAATCTTTTTCACAAAAGGCTCCTCTCACATCAAGACTCCAGATCCTAACCCACATGAATGTTGGCATGTGAGACATCTATATCACACAATGTATCCAAATTGGGAGGAAACAGATTTCCATCTCAGGTTTTTCCCCACCCTAGAGCTAAGGACACTAGGGTGGATTAAGTACCAAATTCTCCTTTGTGATTCAAACTACAAATCTCTGTTACATAGTTTATGCATGTTCTGCAGACTTATGGTCCTATTAAGTGCCTGGAGCAGACATAGAAATGTGATGGAATTCTGTGAATTTCTTGATGGTATCAACTGCAGTTGTGTCAAACCACCTGTCATAAAAGGTCTTCCTGGATATTTTGTACAGGTAGAAAAATACTACTTGTGCTGCATTTTTGTAGCACTATGGGGACATCGAGTGGTTACTTTGGGTAACAGCTGATTGGTATCCTTCCTCTCACCCTATAATTATAGAAGGGAAGATTGGGAGTCCTAGATTCACTTTTAATCAGACATAGAATAAGTAACTCGCTTTCAACATTATCCATCAGTAATCTCAAAGGACAAGCAGAATATATTTTCCTTCGTTTCTGTGTGAAAGCAAGTTTTCCATTCATTTCCACAGCTAGCATTTGCTAGGTTTGCTCTAAGATCACCATATTTCCACTGCATTTCAGAACCTGTAAATCTCGTGATGACGTGAGTATTCCAGGTAACTTGGCCAGCACTTGTGTTTGAGCTAGCTAACCAACTGCTAGAAGACCTTGCCAGCACTCATGGACAACAGGGATCATGAAATCATCTCTAGACACTGTATGAAAACTCCCACTAAGGCATGAAAAATTACATATAGGGCCTGGGCATCTTCCCATTCAAGTCAAAAAGAGGCTTGCCACTGACTTCAGTAGAAACAGCGCTGACCCCATACAGTACGTCAGTGCATAGCACTGCATTGCTTAAGCCTATTTCAATATTTCCATTAGACGCCCCATCTTTCAGAAGTTTATAACTTGGACATAAATATTCCCCTAATTTGCTTGCTGCTGAGATTTTTGCCAAGTGATTTGTTTTTAACATTTTTTCCCACACACCAAAAATCCTCCTTGGATGTTTTTAAGTTAAAAGCGTGCTACTATATATAGATGTTTACCAGTTGCACGGGATTTTTGCACTCCTCTAACTTAAAAATGACTTCATTCTTTCTTAAAGAAAAACTGCAATACAACTTAATGGCTATCCCAATTACTACATCCAAGTGCCAAGAGGGGTAAGTCACTAATAGGAACAACATTCAGGCAGGAGGTTACACTCTGGAGAGAGTGCTGCTATAGGGTGCCTAGTCTTGAAGTCCTTACTCATACAAATAATGCCCGTTGCAGTCAGTGGAACATTTTGGCTTTGTTACAAATGCAGGACTGGTTCCAGGAACCACCTCTCATTATGTTAATGGCCACCGCAAGATACTTTCAAAGGTGGGGGTTGTAAGTTCTATTTTAGTTGGTTAATTTAACAGTTGTTTGTATCAGCAAAATGTCTGCTGCCATTGAGAGACATACCAGCACCATTCCCCATTATGGCAATATTGTAAAAATGCCCAAGTACTATATTTCTGCAAATTTATCTGAAAAATAATGTATTACCACAGATATAACTAGAGTATTTATTACATATTTATTTTCTAGCCAAAGGTCTGATCCTGCATGCCCTTAGTCACATGGGTAGAACTTACTCCTGAAAATAGACATCAGTGGCATTTACTGATGAGAATCTGGCCTGAAATCTTTAGTCTCGTGTGGCCAGTAGACCCAATCCTGTATCAAATCACTGCTCCTCTCAACCACTCTTCTCTATCTTACCAAGATCTCTATCTCAGGACTTAAAGAGCTCAATCTGTTTAGTTTATCAAAAAGAAGACTGAGAAATGACTTGATGGCAGTGACATCCCTGCTTAAACTTGCTCAGTCTGAGTAAGGACAGGAGTTGTTAGGGTATACACCTACACAGCAAATGACGGTGTGATTGTAGCATGAATAGCTATATCTGTGTTGGCTTTAATCTAGCTACCATGGATAACAATAGTAGTGAAGATGTGGCAGCATGGGCTTCAGCGCAGACTAGCTGTCCCAATACAAGCCTACCAGGGATCTTTGGTATCTAATCAGGTTCCTAGCCCATGCTGAAGTCCATGTCACCATGTCTTTACTGCTATTTTTATACATGCTAGCTAGAATAAAGTTAGCATTAGTATGCCTACTGATGTTACAATCACCTCTATTTGCTGTGTAGGCATACCTTTTGTTTGTCATTTGGATCATTTAAATGAGATTGTAAATAGCATTGAAACACACAGCAAACTCCTCCCCAAAACAAAAAATCCTTTGCTTTAACTTTAGTGACAAGAGAAAATCCATCTGGGGGAAAAAACCCAGAAGTACCTTTGATTTTAGAGCATCACTAATTTTGGCTGATTTACTGCAATAACCTTCAAATTCTATTATTACAAAGTTAATGGGCTAACTTTTTCATGTGTGAATATACAGCTATTGGACTAAAACTGA